AATAATGTTAATATAATAATAATAATAATAATAATAATAATAATAATAATAATGATGATGGTAAAGATAATAATCATAATAATAAAAATTATAATGTGGATCATTTTAATTTTGCCTGCTCCTGTGTACACATATCTCTAGGCACTTTACATAAATCAGAGTATGAAACAATAATTATGAACAAAAAAAAAAACCAGGGCAGAGAAAACAAACTTCTGCTCATATATGGCCTGATAGACGAGAATGTACGTATGTAGTTTGTAGTTAATGACTTGTTTTTGTTTTGTTTTTTATTGGCAGGGAGAACAAACTTTTGCTCATCCATGGCCTGATAGATGAGAACGTTCACTTCCTCCACTCCAGCTCTCTCATACAGCAGCTGATTACCCACTGTAAACCTTACCAGTTACAGGTAAGTTTTTAATATCACTTACTGTAAACCGTACCAGTTACAGGTAAGTTTTTAATATCACTTACTGTAAACCTTACCAGTTACAGGTAAGTTTTTAATATCACTTACTGTAAACCATACCAGTTACAGGTAAGTTTTTTATATCACTTACTGTAAACCTTATCAGTTACAGGTAAGTTTTTAATATCACTTACTGTAAACCTTACCAGTTACAGGTAAGTTTTTAATATCACTGTAAACCTTACCAGTTACAGGTAAGTTTTTAATATCACTTACTGTATACCTTACCAGTTACAGGTAAGTTTTTATTATCACTTACTGTATACCTTACCAGTTACAGGTAAGTTTTTAATATCACTTACTGTAAACCGTACCAGTTACAGGTAAGTTTTTCATATCACTTACTGTAAACCGTACCAGTTACAGGTAAGTTTTTCATATCACTTACTGTAAACCTTACCAGTTACAGGTAAGTTTTTAATATCACTTACTGTAAACCATACCAGTTACAGGTAAGTTTTTTATATCACTTACTGTAAACCTTATCAGTTACAGGTAAGTTTTTAATATCACTTACTGTAAACCTTACCAGTTACAGGTAAGTTTTTAATATCACTGTAAACCTTACCAGTTACAGGTAAGTTTTTAATATCACTTACTGTATACCTTACCAGTTACAGGTAAGTTTTTAATATCACTTACTGTGTACCTTACCAGTTACAGGTAAGTTTTTAATATCATTTAATGTATGACGGACTAAAACAAACCTCATTATTTTTATGCTAAGTTTTGTTTTTATTACCAATTGTTAACTTTATCTGTGATAGGTAAGTTATTTTAGTACTTGCTGTAAAATGAAGTAGTGCTGAAAGCAGCTCATGTGGGCTGCTCACTTGTAGAATTGATTATGTGTGTACATATGGCTCCCTCAGAATTACGAAGTTTTTATCTGCTCAGAATTACGAAGTTTTTATCTGCTCAGTATAAAAAAATAAAAAAACAGTACCTCGTTTTGAGAAATTTGATGCAAAAAATTTTGAGTTTCAATGTTTATCAAGCTGTTACAAATATTTTGATCACGACCCCCAGTGATATTATGATTTTGATAGAGCGGAGAGAAAGATTTGGTTTCTGAACTCATAGTCTCAGTAACTCAAAACGGCCAAAAATGTCAGATAGAACTTTGTAATTCTGAGGTAGCGAAATGCAGTTTCTGGGACACTTGGATTATTGTTACATATTTGTTTTGTTGAGTGCCTGATTTCACCATGATGCTTCACATTTATTTTGTCTGTGTGTTCGCAGGTGTACCCCAATGAACGCCATGGCATCAGGAACCATGAGGCCAGCGAGCATTACAAGACCACCATGCTACAGTTCCTGCAGGAGCACTTGTGACCTTTGAACCCTCGTTTACACCCTGGTAGGGTAGGCACAGGGGATGTGAAAAAAAGACAAAGATTAAATAGAGAGAATGAAAAGAAAGATTAAAATTGAACATAGAGGATGGAAAGAAAGACTAAGACTAAATAGAGAGGATGGAAAGAAAGACGAAAGTGTATAGAGACGATGGAAAGAAGGAAAAAGTAGTGTGTGGAGGATGGACTGAAAGAAACTGTGCTTAGATAATGAAGTGAAATGAAATGTGGGTGCTGAAGGTTAGAAAGGATAGAAAGAAAGTTGAAACATTTCTTTGTGGATGAATGGACAGAAGAGAATGTTTTGAAGGATGCATCAAAAGAATGCAAGCTAAAGATGGACAAAATGGAAGTACAGATGCTCAAGGAAATGGAAAGAAATGAGTGTGCACAGAATGGATAGAAAGAAAAGGGGTAAGAGTTCACTGGAAAATGAAAGAATGTAGCAACAGGATGAAAAAAGTATATAAAGTGTGTAGGGTGAGATGTAGCCTGACATATTCATGAGAGCTCAAATGACATTTGTTGGAGGTTATGTTGTTGTAAGTGTTACAACTATCTTGAACTGTCAGTGTGTGTATTATGCAGCCTCGTTGTTGATTTAGAGAAGGGGAGACAGAGTGAGAGACAGAGAAGGGTGGAGGAAAGGGGGAGATGGGGACGAAAGCTTTTTGTTTTATGATTTAGTAAGCATTTTACGGCACTTGCAACACAGTTTGGTCATACAAGTGCCAAAGATTAGAGGTGGTTACAAGAGAGTAACAAACAGAAAAAAAGGAGGAGAGGTAAGGACACCGGGTGTTTGATAGTAAAGAAGGAGCAAAGCACTCAGGAACACCGGCCAACAACCCGCAGGGTACTGAAATAATAAAATGGAATTTACAATCGTGAAGTGAGGAATAGTTACAGTGTTGAACTCTGTACAAAATGTGTCGAGTGTGTGTGGCTGCAGTCTGGTATGTCACAGGATACAATACGGGAGAAAGTACATACCTATACATGCCAGTATTTTACAAACGAAAGTATACCGTGTGTGTGGCCTAGTATGTCACAGGGCTACAGGAGAAAGTACACAGCTGTACATGCCAGTATTTCACAGGAGAGAGTACAGCCAGTGTTTTACTGGAAAATGTACACAGTGTGTTCCAGTACTACAGGAGAAAGTATACAGTGTGTCACAGTACAATAGGAGAAAGTACACAGTGTGTCACAGTACAATAGGAGAAAGTACACAGTGTGTCACAGGAGAAAGTACACAGTGTGTCACAGGAGAAAGTACATGATGTGTCACAGTACTACAGGAGAAAATACAAAATGTGTCACAGTACTACAGGAGAAAATACAAAATGTGTCACAGTACTACAGGAGAAAATACAAAATGTGTCACAGTACTACAGGAGAAAGTACACGATGCATCACAGTACTACTGGAGAAAGTACACAGTGTGTCACGGAAGTTGACAGAAGTACTGGAGAAAGTACACAGTGTGTGGCCTAGTGTGTCACAGGAGTACAGGAGAATGTACACAGCTATACAGTCCAGTGTTTTACAGGAGAAAGTACAGTGTGCAGCTGAGTGTGTCACAGGGTTGCAGGAGAAAGTACACGGCTGTACAGGCCAGTATTTTGCATGTGAAAGTACAGTACATAATATGCAGCTGAGAGTGTTACAAGAGTACAAGAGACCAGGAGAACGTGCATAGCTGTACAGGCCAGTTATGGGGCGGCACTGCTTTATTTTTGTGGCCTTCAGTGCGAGTCTTGAAGGGAGGGATGCTGAACCTGAAATCGTTTCTGCACCGTTATGGAGGCAAGCTTTTGGAGTTGTTGGGGTTTTTAGTTAATGTGGGTTAGCCTGTGTCTGCTTGTGTTTGTGTGAGTGGTTATCTGTGTGGCCGTGTGTGCATACGTTTGTGTTTGACTGCAAAGTGTGTGAGTGGTTATTTGTGTGGCTGTGTGTGCATACGTTTGTGTTTGACTGCAAAGTGTGTGAGTGGTTATTTGTGTGGCCATGTGTGCATATGTTTGTGTTTTACTGCAAAGTGTGTGAGTGTGCGGATGTGTTGTAAGGTATTGTGCGCGTGCATTTGTGGTATATGGTGTGTGTGGATATACATCTGTGGTATGTGGTGTGTGTGCATGTGCATTTATGGTATAATATGGTTTTGTGTGCGTGAATGTCTGTGGTATATGTGTGTGTGATTGTGCATCTCTGGTATATGGTGTGTGTAGATATACATCTGTGGTATGTGGTGTGTGTGCATGTGCATCTATGGTATAATATGGTTTTGTGTGCGTGAATGTCTGTGGTATATGTGTGTGTGATTGTGCATCTCTGATATATGGTGTGTGAGTGTGTGTGTGTGTGTGTGTGTGTGTGTGAGTGTGCGCGTGCGTGCGTGCGTGCGTGCGTGCGTGCGTGCGAGATAATTGTTTTCACTTGGCCTCGAGAAGGGCTGGGAAGGTCTGTAATAAAGACAAGCAGGAATAGTGGTGTGTCTGCCTGTGATGAGGAACTTATCCTCATTATCCTAACTTATCCTAAGCTAGGCTTAGATGAAGGAATAATTTGGGTCCCGATTGATTGAAAGTTTGATGTCAGGATTTGTGTGAATTTGTGCCCACTGTCAGGATTTGGCATTTGTGTGAATTTGTTATGCTGTCAGGATTTGGCATTTGTGTGAATTTGTTATGCTGTCAGGATTTGGCATTTGTGTGAATTTGTTATGCTGTCAGGATTTGGCATTTGTGTGAATTTGTTATGCTGTCTGGATTTGTGTGAATTTGCTATGCTGTCAGGATTTGTGTGAATTTATTATGCTGTGAGCTTTTGTTTGAATTTATTACGCTGTCAGGATTTGTGTAAGCTGCCAGCATCTATTTAGGCTGTCAGAAATGTTTTACACTGTCAGGATCTGCTTGCACGGTCATGATTTGTTTTCATACTGTCTGTCAGAATTTGTTTCTGGTAAACTTTGCTTCTACTAAACACAAAGGCTGGTCCTATTGGGTTTGTCGTGAGGCGGCTACATTGTAAAGTTGGGTGTGCTAGTATTAGAGAGTGCTGTAGTATTTAAGACCATAGGCAATCTGCTTTGTTACTCTAACAGGATGGACTGCTATTGAGTTGTTTGTTTGAGTAAAGAGAAGCGATATCGACACTATAATGATCATTTAGTGCTCGGAAAAAGTAAGACGGACAGAGGCAACAGAAGGAAACTTCGGGAAAGCAAAGAAGTAGAACCTACCAGTGGCACCCTCCAGCCATATACACACTAGTGAATTGTCAAGTCCTTCTGTGTATGAAAACTTAAGAAAGTGGATAGATTAGACTAGACAGAGAGGTAGAGACAGGTTGTTTTTTTTTGTTTGTGTTCATACTCCGCACTAAGTTGATAGAGAATCGTGCAAATTTGATATTATGAAAGTGCTAATACTAGCACTGACTGTTGGTGGCATTATAGTTATAGTGATATTGTCAATGGCATTTTCTACTGTGGACATAGTGTTATTTTGTTTTGTTTTTTTAGATAGAATTAGTGATGTATTATATGATGATTAAAGTGAAGGTAGATGTCGATATTGTGTTCTCATTAATATTATTCATTGTCTTTGTGCAAGATGGTTATAATAATCATGTTGAAAACAGTTAGATACAATGTTTCATGCAGAGGTGACATATACGGTAGATTTGTTGAAGAGTGAACTCGCTTCTGGTAAATGGCGTCTGGTGTTTTGAGTGAATTATTATTAGCAACTGGCTTATAATAACTTATGGTTGATAGATCGTTTTTGTATTTTATCTGTTCTTATTCATCAAAATGATATATGAGTGCAGTTCATCAAAATCTTTCTTATTCGCATTCTTTCTTCTTGATTTAAGTCATCAGTTATGCAAGAAAATATATTTAGAATGCCTAGACAATAGAATTCTTCACTCTCAGATTCAAATGTTTTACCTGGATGTCACAAGGCATTCAGAACATTTGAACTTCTGCAATTGTTGACTTATTCTGGCATTTATTTCACCGTTTTCATGGCTTGTAACAGTCTTATGTGAGCACACGTTTTACGGCACTTTCAACACAAGTAGGTCATATAAGTACAAAAGATCAAAGTGTTACAAGAGAGCAACACACAGAAAAGAGAGATTAGGACGAAAAACGTTTGATAGGAAAGAAGGACCAGACCACCCCAGGGCTCCCGTCAACCACACAGTGTAGTAGCTATACATTGGGAGTAATGCTTACTTATATTACATTAGAGCAAGGGTCTGCAAACTTTTTTTTCAAAATGGGCTCTATATTTGAGGGACGAACGTCGATAAGGTAATTATTTTGTTAAGTACAATACACATGTGTAAAGTGAAAGATTTGTCACATTGAAGAGATGTCGGTAGCCTAGTTGTTAGGCTTCCGGACTCGTAATCGTGAGATTGTGGGTTTGAGGGTTCAAGCCCCAGCTCATTCTGATGTTGTGTCCTTGGGAAAAGCACTGTATGCGCGAATTTCCCATTTGGGTAGGTACTTTCAGAGATGGACGTTAAACTTGGAGGTCTTCTCTCTTAAATAACCTAATAGTGTTGATAAGTGCGTTAAACCTATACCATTTCATCATTGACCATTTCACATTGAAGTTCAGCAAAAGTGGGATACATTTAGCAAGCTAGAGTTATGGAGTCTATATAAAAGCATCGTGTATAAAATTTTGTTCAGAGTTCAATGAAAGGATTAAATTATTTGATTACCAAAGTCTGAGAAATGTATGAACACATCTTCCGAGTTTTTTAGTTTTTTTTATCGCATGGCTGTGGGCAAGATGAACTGAACCTATGGGCTGAATCTGACCTGCGTACAGCAGTGTGGTGACCCCTACATTAGAGAGAAATGTCTCCCCTTGTGGGCTTGCTTTCTTTCATAATAATGACACTGTGTAAAACAGCCACATGTTTAAGATTGCCACTTTCTCCTCGACAATGTGTGTGGTAGTACATTGTGGGAAGTAACAATAACTGTGTGGAAGATGTCTCTAGCTTTCCTCATCATGGCTTATGTTTTCATTTGTTTTGGTAGGCCTAAGTGTTTTACGGCGCTCGCAACTGCGTAAGGTCATATCTCATGTCTTCACTTGAGTGGCGTGATTGTGAGTTTGTACTGTAG